TCGTCTTCCTCTCTCTCTCTCTCTCTTCTCTCTCTCTCTCTCTCTCTCTCTCTCTCTCTCTTCTCTCTCTCATCTCTCTTTTCTTCTTCTCTCTCTCTCTCTCTCTCTCTCTCTCTCCTCTCTCTCTCTCTTCTCTCTCCTCTCTCTCCTCTCTCTCTCTATCTCTCTCTCTATTCTCTCTCTCTATGTGTGTGTGTGTTGTGTGTGTTTCGCCTCACTCTCTGTCTCTGTCGCTCAATATTTCTCGATGTTTTCTCCATGTTCCTCCTCTTCCTTTCCTCGCTTGTGTCGTCCCCCTCCTTATTCCTTCTTATCCTCCCCATCTCCCTCCTCCCCCTTCCTCCACAGTCCTCTTCTCCTTCCTCCTCCTCCCCTCCTCATCCCTCTTCCCTCCTTGCCTCCTCCTTCTCTCTCCCTCTCCCTTCCCTCTCCTCCTACATCCTCCCCTCCCTCCCCCCCTTCCTCAACATCCTCTCCCTCCTTCCTCCTCCTCCCCCTCCTCTCCCTCTCCCTCCTTGCCCCTCTTCCTCTCCTTCCTCCCTCCCTCTCTCCTGCATCCTCCCCTCCTCCTCCCCCTTCCTCCAACATCCTCCTTCCTCCCCTTCCTCCATCCTCTCCCTCCTCCCTCCCTCCTCCCTTCCTACATCCTCTTTCCCTTCCTTCCTCCTCCTCCTCCTCCTCTCCCTCTCCCTCCTTGCCCCTCCTTCCTCTCCCTCCTCCCTCCCTCCTTGCCCCTACCTTCCCTCGCCTCTCCCCTTCCATATCCCCTTCCTCCCTCTCTTCCCCTCCTTCCTTCCTTCCTCCCTTCACTTCCTCCTGTTCCAAAATATGCCCAAATCTGGAAGCCTTCCTCCTGTTTCTTCATCTGGAATTGGCATCTTGATTTTCATCTCCAAGACACACGCGGTCGCGGGTTTTTGTTTATTCTTCGGTCTATTTACGCACATACGCCTTTCATTATTATTTAAAACCAAAACCCCGACCCCACTTCTCTGTAGGATATCTCTAATCATCTAGTACAACTCGGTCATTTACGTCACATACGTCTCATTATATGTACACCACCGCGCATGGTCGTACACTCTTTATCTTCAACTCAGGTCTTATTTACGCACATACGTTCATTTTATATGTCACACTACAGCGCATATGTTACACGCATACGCACATGTACAATCTCGTCTATTTACGCACATACGTTCATTATATTGTACACACGTATTTTGTATGTATGTACACGCATTCGCCATGTACAACGTCGCTGTATTAGTACAGAGATAATATTACAGATATATGTATAGATGTACAAATATACGAGTTTTTGTGTGTGTATTAGCAATTACATGCATACACTCGCTATACTCTGCTCACGCACACGCACAACGCACGCACACCACACACGTATGGTTCACAGACACAGGACACAGGGACACATCACACACACACACACACCACACACACACCACACACACACACACACACACACACACACACATCCACACACACACACAAGACACACACCAGCCACCCACACACACACATTGCACCTTCAAAACGTTAACTTTCAGCATTTTCTCAAGAATGAGATTTATTTACATTTCCGCGATTCCAATTCCGGGCTTGACAAACCCCGCAAGCAAAGCCCACGCCCACGCCCGCAAACGCCCCACTCTCGCAAGTCAGTTCGAATCCCCCGGCTCCTCCCGCCACATTCCAGTCAATTCCCATTCCCATTCCCATTCCCCCCCCCTCACAACCCCCTCTCCCCCCAAACCCCAAAACTAAACCCCGATCTTGATCATTTTCGAGATTTTTCACCATGTTTCTTTCCTCTCCTCCTTCCCTCCTTCCTCCTTCCCCATTCTTCTCCCTCCTCCTTCCCGCCCTCCTTCCCCATCCGTCATCCTCCCCCATCTTCTCCCCCCTCCCCCTCTCCTCCTCCCTCCTTCCTCCCTTCCCTCCCCATCTCTCCCCCATCTTCCCCCATCTTCCCCTCCCCCTCGCGTTCGCCCCCCCCCCCTCTCCTTCCTGACTCATATCTACGCCCCCCCCCCCCCACCCACACCCCTCCGCGAGTGAAATGTGGCAGGCTCGTTCCGTAGAGTTATGCAACGTCGGGGGGTGATATTTTCGGAATGAAACTTGTATTTATTTATTTATTTATTTTTGACATTTATTTTCTCTTCTTCTTCTTTTACTTGTTTTTATTTTGTGTTTTTCTATTTATAATTATTATTTTAAGGGAGGGAGCAGTGACCTTGTCTCGTGCATTTGTTGAGTTATTCTGGCAACTTGGCGTTCGTATTGTCTCCATGGTGACATGTATACAATGGTCAGCTGATCGGTGTTTACTATTTTCTCTTTCTCTGTGTATGTTTGTCTCTGCCTGTGTCTCTGTCGTTTTATCGTTCTGTTTTTATTTTTTTTTTCTCTCTCTCACTCTCTGCCTCGGTCTCTGTCGTTTTGTCTGTCTGTCTTCTCTCTCTCCTTCTCTCTCTCT